ATTATTATTTTAAAACAAATAAAATACTACTATTATTGAGTAAAGACAATAGATAATATTAACACATGCACGTTTTCCTTCTTCCTTTTTCTGTTCTTTTGTTAATCTGATAATTAAAGGCGCGTTGTACCTTACCCAGCTGTCAGTCTGTCAGCTACTAGCTCCAGCTCTTCCTCTTCAATCCACTACCAGGAAACTATTAGGAAATTCCAACGCCCACCACCCGAATCTCCCTTGAACCAGCAATTAAATTTACCTAATTAATCCCCATCTTCCCCCCCAGCTTTTTTCTTTTTTTCTTTTATCGTGAATTTTTTTACAAGGAAATAATAATTAAAAATTAATATCTATTCAGTAAATGAGAAAACTTGAAATTACGTAAACTCCACTTGCTATTCATGGAGGAATGTGACCCAACTAATGGGTTGCATGGAAGAGTTTTATTATGAATTTGTTTAATTTATATAGTAAGGGTATAAATTAAAAATGCATTAAATATATTTTTTACTATAAATTTATATTAAAAATAAAAATTAAATTTTAAATTATTAATTATTTAATTAAATTTACTTGACATTCAAATTAAAATTAATTTTATATATTTTTATGTATTTATAATAAGAGAATATATATATTGTTGTTGGTTGTACAACGAAATATAATTTTTTTTAATTTTTATTTTATTTTATTCACATGTTATATGATTTGAATTTATAATTTTTTACTTTTAACGAAAAGAGATTACTATTAACATATTTAGATTATTGATAATAAAATATATTTAATATATCCTTAAAATATAAATTAAAAGAAAAATCTTTTTACTATTGACACAAACGCCACCAAACAGGAAAGTCGCCAGCTGGTAGAGGAATATTCCGTTTCGACGAAGTCAGATTCCATTTTGTTGTATGCAAGTTGTTCAACGCGACAATAACAATATCTGCCCCACTGTCACTAGGCAAATTTCCTTTTGACAACAGGCTGTGCAACGAATCTGGAAATCTGTATTTTGTGGATTTAATTATTAGTTAAAAATAATTTATAAGCTGAATTATTATTATTATTATTATTGTACTAAATAACTATTTAAATTATTTACCAACATGAGTACTATGGTAATGGTATTTTAGTGAAAGCAATGTGTTTTAAATTCAAATGGTATGCATGTAAGTCACATGTGAATAATTATATAGGAAAATAAATTATTTCATATAATAGGAGTTTAATTGAAAATATAAAAATATTAGTGAAAAATATAATCATGTATTGGTATTGTTTCTGTTTATTTTTAATAGTTTTAATTTGATTTTTTAAATAAAATTTTAATAATTATATAAATAATAATAAAATTCTTTTATTAAATAAAAATATATACTTAAT